TTTATTATACAAAGTTTTACTAGGAATAATAAGTTATACGTTGTTCTAGTTGTTATTATACATGTAAATGATAAATTTAAATATAATATAACTGCAATGTAGGTGATTCGCCTGTGATATTTGTATAAAAATTACATTTTGGTAAGATTTTATTATTTGTATATCTTATAAGCATATTACCGTAGTAGGTAAAACACCCTATGCTAATCATACGGTTAAATTCCATTACATTCAAAAAATTTAAACTAAGTATTACAATCGTTGATAAACTTAAGACCAAATAAAAAAGTGTAAGTCAATGGGGTGGTTCAGATTGGGTCTAAGCTGGGTCTTATCTTAATACAAAAAAAATTAATACCACAAAAGTGTTTTTCATTCTTATAACTAGCGTAAGTATAATTATGTTGTCTTATACAAATTGATAATATATAGTTGTCTAAATACTATAATGAAGATAAAAACATTTTTAGTTAATATATTATACTCTCGCTATTGTATACGAGAAAATGTATAGTTTCAGAATTAATCGCAGGTTAATATTGTTTGTGAATCACAATATTATTTTATATTTCTCAATGAATTCAGTTGAGGTAAGTATTATGCAAACGAATCGCCCTCATGTGTCGATATCACAAAGAAAAAAAATGAATTTGGTTGGAAAAAAATGTTTATTGAGGCATTGAGTTTTACAAATATATTATGATTTCTGATCAACATCATTAAAATAAATAACACAATTAGTTATTATAGAATGAACAGCAATCGGCAGAAAAAAAGACTATGTACTGTTGTAGTAATATCAAATCACTTTTTTCCCCCCAAATTGATTAAATTATTATTATGTAAATATATAATTCACATGCAACAAATTTTCCATTCATTTTACATTTATAAGTTCATAAATGATTATTTTTGTGAAAAAAAAAAAAATAGTATATTAATATTTATGTAAAATAATTTAAATTAGAAAAAACTTTTCTGAAAGTTTTAATGATTATTTTTAATAGCTCTGTCTCATTTTGTTGAGAAAAATGACTTTATTTCTTATATTGTTTTAATAAGTTTTCATGGGTAAAACAACAAGGAATTATTTTTTTGACTTAACATATGTATATAGTGTAAGCAATAAATTCAATCGTTATTTCTCAAACTAAATATTTGTTTGAATTGCAAAATCTAAATTTAAATATTATTCATACTATGACAATATAGTCGGAAGTCATTGTTTTAGTTGTAATAAACCGTTTTCCATTAAACAGAATTCACTACCTACGTTATAAGTTATAACTTCTCATGTTAAATATTATCCATGTATTTTATTTTATTTTAAAGCTTATCGAAAAGTTTAAAAGATCCTTTTTTATTGTACTGTACTCATATTATAAGACGAATAAGACTTTAAAAATCTTTTAGCAATATTCGTTGAAATAATCTTTAGGTACTTTAAAAGTGTAGGTATACTCTCATTTTGTCATTTTTTAAAGAATTTTTCATAGGATTATTAAAGTATAATAAAGTGTAAGGTGATCTGAAAATGTTTATCGAACCATTGTTTTCAAAATGTATAACATGCAATCTACCCAGAGTTAACTATTGGTTTTTAATTTTTATTATTTTTCTGTCATGTCCAAATTCGTATTCAGATATTATAATATCTTTAAAATTGACGATTTCAGAATTATACTTTCTTCGAGGTAATTTTAGTGTAGAGTCTTTTGTTAAAATAATTTTAAATGTCATATAAAAGTAGTCAATCTGAACCATCTATTAATGCCACACAAATATTTTTTTGTGGCATTGTATTTTTACGTATATTAACACACTAATATTAACAATATCGATGATAAATAATATTTGTAATAATTTATATGTTATAATGATGATGTTAGATTTGAAATATTTTAAAATTAAAATACGTCAGAGTTATACAATGATTGGTATAATAGTGTTTAAAAATAAACATTACTTTAATTAATTCAAAAATTCTATTGGATTAACTTTTCATCAAAGAGGTAGGTTTACGTATGTAACTTTACTGGTGAGATAAAAAAAAAATTAACAAAACGAAACGAAACTATAAGAAACATTAATTATATTAAAATATTTTCATCTACTTTTAATTAATACATTTTTTTTTTTTTAGTTTGAAATCATTTTTTTCTTTTAAACTTCACTTATTAATCGTACAAGCGCTTAAGTCCATGTTCATGCATTTTATATAGCTGGTTATTACCACTCGAAGGATCACCGTATTGTTTTGCGCAATCACATTAAAATTAAATTTATCAGCTACGATGTTCGGGTTATTTCTAGTTAAATTTATCAATGAATATTAATATCAGTATGGTTGTATTTTTATAATTCTTCTACATATGCATATACTATACACTCTTTTCATAAGATATTATGTATCTGAACTTAAATAGTTTAAGCCGGGAGACAATAACGGAACATCGTAATATATCATATTTAATAATATCTACTTCATCTATGGTTTATGTGATAAATAATAATGCAATTAATACATTTAAGATTGACCAACAGGTACGAGAATCACGGGCAGGACAATAAAGTCGTGAGAGAAGTATACATATTCATATTTTAAATGTAATTAATTAACACATAAGTAGGCAAAATATATGAATTATAATAAGGGAAAATACGGTTGATTAGTTGAGTTGAAAGAGAACAACATACAGGTATATTGTAATAATTAACCATGCTAAATTCATAACAATTATTAAGCTTAAGTTGTATGCGGTTGATGTACCATGATTTTTTTGTTTGTTTGTAAAATTATTTAATCTTCATAGAGTGTATATTCTTTTATATTTTTTTAGTGTTTTGGAAAACTAAACGTGTTATCACACACAACAGCACACTTAAATTATGTTATAATAATATTAGATAACAAAAAAGGAACGACTGAAATAATATTAATTTAAAATAAAAGCTGGTGTTGTACTGTTGTATTAATTCCAACATCCAAGAAGAGTTTACATACAATTTTTAATGTGAACAATATGATAATATGAAAACAACCGTCCTGAAGTTCTGAGCCAAAATCGATGAGCAAATGTATTTGGCATTGACTACACTTGTAGTTTATACAACACCAAATTTCAATGTGTGATAGGTACCGAGTTCGTGTAGCAATTTTAACAAAATCTATAAAAAAAATTGACCTAATATAAATTTACATAACAGTTAGAAATCATATAATTTTGTTCTGAAATTATGTTTAACACGTTGACTGCCAAAGGGTTTTTCACATTTCACCATGCTACTTATAATGGCTACGAGATCTATTTCTAAATCCCAACAAATTTACGGTCAACCTGTTTAAAAATGTTTTACTAAGTTTCATATTATTATACTTCATATTTTTATCAGTGTACGTTAAAAACTTCGTCAGTAAGTGGTTAGGCGAGTTAATGATTGCTAATAATATTATAAAAGTATAAGACTGACATCAGATGATGTGTGGGAATACTTGATGGTCTCGCCTATTTATGATGTATAAGTATAACATAAAACGGTTTTGAATAATAAATTTTGTGTGATAAAATATTATGATTATCATTTGGTTTTTTTTTTTTTAAATTTAATTCTATCTCCTGTAAATGTTAATTACATCTGATGTTGTTTGGCTGTAATATAATTGTATTATGTGCGATGTAGAATTTTATATTCTAAAATGTTGTAATCTTGTTAAGATATAGTATTATTTTAAACTGATAAACTCTGTAATTTAACCCCGTTAGCCGTAAATAAATGAATAAACAAATACTGCATAAACACATAAAATCGATGTTGTGTTTTCGAATCAACAGTACCTAACTGTGGAAGATAAAACGTATATCATTGTCAACCTTATTGTAGTATATATAATAGTAGGTAGGTATTATTATTAAAATCTTTATAATATATACGAACAAATTGCAAGTTGGACACTTTAGAAACATGGTGATATATCTTAATATCTTACTCACAGAATTATATCGGAACTTATGTGTACATTAATTTGAATTATAGCTCACCGAGACAATAGTTCGTAATAATGAACCTACATTGTTAAAAACGAGTTATATAGTTAGGTAAATAAAAATATTATGTATACCACGTGGTTAATAATATATAAAATGTACGTAGGTATTTCTAATCACCACACTATCTCAGTGATTTTTGTTTTTTGGGGGGGATGGTCGTAACATGTAATTGTAATGATTTTATAAGACTTTCCAGAACTCATAATGATCACAGTATTGAAAATACTGTACACTCGATATTCTCTTGCTAAAACCTACTCTGGCTCGGCAAACACAACTAGCACTCGCCTACCGTGTCGTGTGTTACACGTAATCGTAGAGTATAAACTACAAGAAGTAAGAATTACACAAAAGCTTAGTACTTTTAATTTTTGAATTACGTGATTTCATTTACAAACCGTACCCTCGACGAAAGTGTACTTGTTTTTAAATTCTTCGAAAATAATCTAAAATGATACATTATATACAAATACCCAAAACACTTATTATAAAATTAATTTATATGATTCCTGCGTATACTAACGTAAGTTAATGTGAATATTGTCAGTTCGCAGTTCTCAAATTCACTCAAATGTGAAATGATAACTGTCAAACATACTATAGGCAACAGGTATATTACTAAAATTACTAAAAATTGATGTTCACCAAGGTAAAACCTCGTATCGTAGAGTAAGGGTATGATTCTATAAATCCAAAAGAGAAGAGAGAAAAAAAAGATAATTATGATGAAATCATATTTATTAATTATATATTGTAAAAAAATAGTACCATACTAGTTAAAAAAAATTTTAAAATACGCTTAAGAAATTCAGATGACTAGGGTGGGAGGACCGCCAAGCCACCTATTGTTTTGAAAAAATCTAGCGGACTGCATTCATGATGAAAACAAGTTATGAAAAAAAACATATCGAGAAACACTGCACCAGAGTATGGTGTAAGGGTTGTACGCACCTGTAGAGCATGCGTTCTTGTCGGTCGGCCTCCTGGTAGATGCGGTAGTACGTGAACAGCATGATGACGCCTGGCACCCAAAACGACACCCCGGACGACACGACCGCGTACTGCTTGTTGACGACGAATGCGCACACGTCCGGGTGACGGGCCCGGTCACGGTCGTGGGCGGCGGTCGTGTACCAGCCGGCGAATATCGGAGCGAACGATATGAGCACAGGTGACACCCACACGGACGCCAGCATGACCACCGTCCGGGACTTGGTCATGATCAGCGGGTAGTCCAGGGGCTGGACGATCGCGTAGTACCTGTCCACGCTGATGCAGCACAGGTGCAGTATAGACACGGTGGAGAAGTACACGTCCATCGAGTTCCAGACGTCGCACATGAACCGGCCGAACAGCCAGCGGCCGGTCATCTCGAAACTGGCGTTGAAGCACATGGCGAATATGGCCACAAGCATGTCGGCCAGGGCCAGCGACACGACGAAGTAGTTGGTGATGACGCGCAGCTTGCGGTGACGCATCACGCTCACCATCACCAGTAGGTTGCCGAACAGTGCGGCCACCACTATGAAGCACATGGCTGCGCATTTGGCCACGTACCCGCAGAACCGTGCCTCGTCGGCCAGGTTGTCGAGCAGTCCGTCCACGGCGCCGCCGGACATCGCGGTCGCGCCAATCGCGGCCACCGTGGCCAGAGCATCGGCGGCCGTCGTCGCAGTCACCGTGGTCGCCGTCACCGCTGTCGCCGTGACGGTCGTCGTGGTTGTCGTCGCTTCAGTCGTCTCGTTGACCACCGCTGCAGCCGCAGCCGCCGCCGCGAACATTTTGCTATCGCCGATCCCGAGATCTCTTTTCCTCCTCCGCAAGTCTAGCACTTCCGCCGCCGTCGCCGCTGCTTCCGGGTCACCAACTACATGGTCCGACAGTTTCCGGTCCGGCCGCCACTGGCGCACCGCTGTAGTCGGCCCACGTCACCGCTGCCGCTGACACTGACACAGACGCCGCCGCCACCCCGGCCGTACGCCGACGGCGGCATGTCTACGATCGTCTGAAAACCACAGTTGGACAGAAATGATTTCAATTTTAGATTTAAACATAAAAATTAATTGAATTATTATTGAAATCGATACGCGTCGTGTGTTCGGCTCAGTAAGCCCGAAACTTTGCGTGTGTAGGTGGAACGTGCGTGTAGGTATACAATATACATCTAACCGACAGCGCTGTTTGTGACGTCCTTGCCCCTCTCCCCGCCTGACCATAATACTCTCAAATATTTTTTTTTATTCCAATATTTTTTATCCAATTTTTAGGCGTTTCCCTAACGAATTTTAGTGTTTTTCGACATATTCGGTAGTGTTTGGTAACATCAAAAACAACGAAAGCCGGTAGCAAATGTATACGGGACACCCGCATATTATTATATTTTATGGACTTCTAGATGCTGAGAAACAATGCATGAACCAATATTGTAATTATTGCCGTGTAGTAATATATTCGTAATAATTATTATTATTACACTTTGGCATTTGGAAGAGTTCAAAAAATTAAAACCATTTGTACAGATGAAAAATACCAGCCCAGTAAAATGTAATAATAATATTAGTATCGTTGTTATAAAAAAAAAAATTAATATTTTAAGCCGATCCTATTATAATATCGGACACAAGGATGAGAAGAGTTTAACTAGTAAAAAGTACCTAACTACTACAGATAATTATTAATTTATAATTACGTTTCTGAACGTTCGGGTACTACAACAACGGCTTCGAATGCGAAATACCCTCTATACTGCGTTTATAATTACAGTGTTTTTAATTTTATGGATCGTTTAACACCTCGATTAGTGTAATAATATTATCACAATAGCGCACGCCGACGGATCGATAAACGATAATAATTATTAGTAAATACGCCATAACTTGATTGTGAGTAAAGAAAACGATAAATTAATATATTATAACATTATTATGCACCATAAATTCGGTGGTAATTTAGCGAGGAATTATTTATAAGACTCGACCTAACGTCGCGCTCGTTGACCGTACCATATAGTTTGAAGTTTGCGCGGTTCTTGGTTTTAGTATTTTTTTTTCATTTTTTTTTTTCCGGTCGACTCGATGTTTTATTAAATTTTTTACATTGCTAGCACAGGATACAGGGGGAAGGTGAAAGAAGGAGAGGAGAGCGTGGCTGATCTGAGGGAGGTCGAGGGAGATAAATGAATTATTATGTACACATAAAATAAAAATGTATGGGATTTATGTTTTTATAATTAGACCGTCGTCAAAACGCCTTACGTATCAAACTCTACTCGTTTACAAAAACACTGATTAAAATTAATAATTCATGGTCCTATCGATTACCTATATATACGCGCACATTACACATACCTACATATAATGTTATTATTAATGACTGGAACATAAAAAAATTGAAAAATCGTATTAAATTATTCGTTCGTACATTATTACATTGTTATAATATATTATAAGCACACAGAAAATAAATACAGGGTGTTGTGGTTATCACTATAAAAATAGAATGAAGTTAGTGATTTGTGCCCTCCCCTCCCCCCAAGTATACTTCGCGATTTCTTCTGATTTGAAAAACGTTATTGACTTAAATGGGCCACCCATCGTTTTTATTTTAAAATGTTCGAACAAAAACTATTTCTGAAATCCGAGTATTTTGATATAGCACTCTGGGGTTCGTTTCAAGAATCTAATGTTTCAAATAGACAAACTCTCAATGTGAGGTCACGAAATCGTTTTGTTTTATTTTCTTGAACACACTCGTCATCATCGATACCTACTCCTTCTCCTTCGATCTACGAACTTCGAATTGTCACAAAAATTGTTGCTGTTATTAATAATAACATAACCATAATTGTTATGATTTTAACTATTGCTGATGACCGGTGTTCCAAACGTTGTACCCTTAGTGTCTAAGGCTTAGACGTTCAAAAAAAACCTAATATTTACGATTACTAGGTTGACGTCCAAAAATCAAAAGTCGACACTGTCACGACCATCATATTATATATTATTCCAAACCCTTTGTCCTCTCTGCACCGCCCCTTGATAATGTATATACTTGTACAGTTGTACCCGTACTGACGTCTCGCCGTCACTCATTCGACTCTAAAATGAATCGTATTTACTTTTCTTTTGCTCACATAAATATTATGTTTCATAATAATATTATCTCATTCATTCGTGCAACTTAATTATTACAATAACAATTTTATGTCATGCCTGCGTGCGTTTCGTTTATGTTATTTTGTGTTAACATAATTTCATAAATCTATCAATATCGTAGAAGAGGCAATATATTTTAATTTTGAATTTGCACTACCGTCACCGTTGCGTGTTGTCGGTAGTACGAATCGTTAGGTGTGTGCGATAAACATATTTTATACTAAAATTATTATTATTATTAAAATATGTTCTATGTGGTTTTTTATACTATTAAAATAACCGAGTGCGATAGCACCGTAATGCGGTCGATAATGTTTTTGACGTTTTACAGTCGTAACTTTGCTGAATGTAGAAAGGAGAGGGATTCGATCGATATTAAAAAAAAAAAATAAAGATGAGCCTATTCGCAGTTGAGATAATATTATGTAGCTTACAAAGGAAAAAACGTACATTCAAAAGTCACGAAAATGTTTTCTAATACGTGTAGCATAGACTCTTATAGTATCAACTTACAAACGTTTACTCTTCTCCTCACTTCTAAAAAAAAAATAATATTTAATTTCTACTTTTTTACGGGTTAATCATTATTTAATAGATTTTTTGTGATACAAACATTATTTATTTTGAATGAACGGTGCCAACAACATTAAATCGCTTATGGATAATCTACGTGGGGTGTCGTTGTATTAATTATTTTGTTCAATACTAATTTACCGATTTAAAGATTTTATTCTGAAAACGTGTCGGTGTCCGTGATTAAAATAATATATATCATAGGTATCTAATATATTATATTTTGTACATTTTGTGATGTTAAAAAAAAAAAAAAAAACGACCAGAACGCGATTGTAAGAACTGAGGCGACCGAGTTGTTTTGTACCGGGCATTGGAAGTCCTATGGTTACCAGCTACACCAGTCGTGGTATATGTCGTTGTTATTACCTACACCTGTGTGACCACAACATCGTTGTTGTGGTCACTCTGAAAACCGTCACCCTCCGTATTCGCGCATTGTCGGTCGTCACGCACACACGCTATCGCTCATTCGAATTCGGCGTCTCGTCCTGCCACCACCGCTTGGGCGGCGTATAATGTAATATGTATATATATATGGTTGAACCGTATTGTTTTCCACGAGACAATTTAACCACCCCCCCCCCCCTCCCGGATTCCAGGGGTGTGAGCGGGAGAGGGTGGGTTTCTGGAGGCCCGATTCGCGTATACATACAATGACGGCGGCGGCCTGAAATTAATATAAATCGACATTTCGTATTTCGCCGCCACAATATGACGCGCGGTCGTCCTGCCCAAGACGTCGCGTACCGTATACATACGCAATAACCCACGCAGCATTACTACCCCCGTTACCAACCCTTACACCCACCACACCCACTCACGACCCGAGTCCAAGACTTCGGCCCACCGGCCCCCGCGTGCATTGTATTGTGCTGACTCGGCAAACTGTCAAAACCACATTCGAAACTCCGATAGCTGCTGTAACCATATATATATATATCATATATATATATACATACATTATACATACATATTATGATAATATTTCGAAGGACTCGCAGGCAGACTTTGTGCGGCTATTCTTCGGGAATAATGTCTATCACGATTATCATTATTGTTATTATTATTATTATTATTATTATTATGTTATTATTGTTGTTGTTGTTGTTATTATCATCATCACCACGCTGTCGTGGTAGGTCTTAGTATTATTTTATTACGCACGTTCCACCAGCGGCATTCGACCAAGAATACGACAACGCGCACAGCAGTGATACGATAATATAACTATTACACATGTAATATCTATAACACCATATAATATAACGTATAATGATAATATTATCATTATTACTGTGTTTGTTGTGCCATAGTCTGCGGGATGTATGTGACTCCGAAATTTCGCCGATCGAACACTTAATATTATTATAATACGGTTTCGGAGTCACAACTCTGGTTGTGATAAAGTCGCTGTACTGGACGTCGTGTCGACGGGGTCGGTTCAATCAGTGGGCTATGATCATTTCTTGAACAGAACGCATTTCGTCTTGTTTTTCGCCCAAGGTTTTGAAATACCAAGTGTTTTCTACTGCCTGATAAGTGGACCACTTAAAACGCTTTTTATATTATCTTTGTCTGTGAATGCTTTATTTTTATTTTTGGACGGAAAGAGGTTCTTAAAAAAAATAATATCGAGTAGCCCAATATATCGATTGGAAACCACGCGAGTGTTGTTGATACTTTGAAGCCTCAAGGGGGTAGATTTTTTTTTCTTACGTAGCTTTTTCTCGAGTTCAACGAAATCAACAAACAAATTTAAACTCATGTGTCTTCCGAACTCTGTTATTACAGACATTTTTTTTTGTTTGAGCAATTTATCATTGTTTTATTAACAAATATCAAATCATAAAAACTCACATAACACTCCTAAACTAAAGAAATTTTTGTGTTTAGAATATTCTGCAGCAAGAAGTTTTCTGAAAATCTAAAATATTATAGAATGTAATTATGAATCTACAGTTTGTTACCTATTTATAATAGTATTTTAAATTGTAATCTCAGTTATATGCATAGTGAAAATTGATGATTTTCCTCCCTATTCAACTTTTAGAAACTTGTAAATAAGTATATATTTTTTCTTTAAACATTTAATTTTAGATTGAGAATCTTATATAATGATGCAATAATAATCTTATGACACTCCGTGTAAGTTTAATGTTATGTTAACTAGTTATGGAATTAAAAGTACCTACCTAACAGTAACAAAGATACACTAACAACCTCAGATTTAAAAACAATAGTTTAATTGGTGATTATAATGGTTTACTACACAGTACATGCACAATACGTTTAA